GGGGAAGGCTTGCCTCATAACAAACCATTACTGAGACTACAACATTAATTTATTCATGAGGGCAGAATTCTCATGGCCTACTTACTAAATAGGTCCTACCTACCAACACTGTTGCATTGGGTATTAAGTTTCAAAAACATGCTTTTGGGGGACATTCAAATCATAGCAGTGGCAGACATGAGCTCACAGCTCAGACCTCATGATTATCTGCTAGGTATTTCTTCCAAATCACACTGTCATTCACCTTTATGTTAGGCAACAGTGTGAGTGTGCCTGCAATGTCACAATAGCGCCACTTTCTGAAATGTGTTCCCAGTGCACTTTTTTGTTGAAATATTAGAACAGAATAATCCAGGACTGGTAGACTAAGGTCYGTATGTCTCATCAGTCCATTGCCTGCTTTTGTAAATAAAGCTTTATTGAAACTTAGTTTTTCCTATTCATTATTTTCTATGGCTGCTTTTATACCACAATGGAGAGTTGAGTAAGTGCAATGGAAACTGGCTTACAAAGTCTAAAATATTTACTATCTATCTGGTCCTTTACAGAAAGTTTGCCACCTGCTGGAGTAGGTGAATGGAATAGAGGTAACTGGAAAAAATTGATTGATTCATTTTTTTTACATAAATGAAGTATAATTTCTCATTCTTCTGACTATACATGATGTAGAATCATACTAGTCCTATAGTCATGTATATGCATAGAGTAATAATGCCTGATTCATTCTACTATCCTTCCTACCCTCATTCCCACTCCATCCCTTCACTTCCCTCTACCTAATCCAAASTAACTCTATTCTTCCATAGCACCGCCCCCTTATTGTAATTAGCATCTGCTTATCAGAAAAAAACATTTGGCATTTGGTTTTCTGGATTAGCTTGTTTCACTTAGCRATATATTCTCCAGCTCCATCCATTTACCAGCAAATGCCATAATTTCATTCTTCTTTAAAGCCGAGTAATATTAGATTGTGTGTATATACCAAATTTTCTTTAACCATTCAACTGTTGAAGGACACCTATGTTGGTTCCATAGTTGAGCTATTGTGAGTTGAACTGTTATAWACATTGATGTGGCTGCATCATTGTAGTTACTGATTTTAAGTCCTTTGGATATAAACTGAGGAATGGGATAGCTGGGTCAAATGGTGGTTCTATTCCAAGTTTTCTGAGGAATCTCCATACTTCTTTCCACAATGGTTGCACCAGTTTGCATTCCCACCAACAATGTGTGAGTGTGCCT